CAGGGATGAGAGTAGTTGGAAAGTAAAAAAGAGAAAATTCAAGAATGAATATATATATACATATATATATATATATATACATACATATGTGTGTATATATATATATACATACATATGTGTGTGTGTCAGAAATTATGTTGCAGTTTGAATTTGAAGACTTTTTTACTCCTGATTGATTTTTTTCATTTCACTCACAAACACCTATAAATATTTTGGAAACATCCTTGTTTTAGATATTAAGAAATTTCCTACAAGAACAAATTATTTTACGATGAATGAAACAATAATATTCGCCACCTGATTTTTCGAAGGACGAAATGGAGAGACACATATTGGTTTACAGCTATGTTGGGATGCCTTTTAGAAAATGAAGGATTTAGAAATTCAGGATGCTTTTTAGAAAGACAGTAAATTCGTTACGTGGGGACGAAAATTTCGAAATTATCTGAAGTTTCCACATCGTCAATTGATATTTCATTCTGATTCAACCGCAAATGAAGAAATCTTTTATTATAATTCTGGGTTCAACGAAGAGTTTTATTTTTTTCATTCATGGTTAGGCGAATTTTTATAATTTTTTTTAAAATTACAAATTTAGACTTTAATGAAAAAAAATGCCTATTAAGTGGTCAGAAGGAGGAAGATATAAGAAATTATTTACTTTTGCATGTTCCTAAATTGTCAATATATCCCTTTAAACATTGACAAACTTTTTCACCTTTGTCTTCAAAACTGCATGTTTTTGATTTGTTTCCACAATCACATTCTAAAAAAAATATTTAAAAAAAAACGCATCATAAAACATATTGATGCTTAAGATTTGAAGAAATAATCATAAAAAGTATATCATAATTCTATGTAAGGAAGTTTCCTAGAAATTTTAAAGTACTTTTTCAAAAAATATTAATGACTGTAAAAGATTACACTTTGACTGTAAAATACTTAACTTTTTCTAGAAGTAGACTTTTTCCCCATTGTTCTAGTAAAATAATTATTGAAGATAAATTTTTTTTGTTATTCATATGTATATCAGTCATTAATGAACAATTATTAAAAAATTGTATCACCATTATTAATTAATATCATTAATTNCAAAACGGGCAAAATATTAATGACTGTAAAAGACTTAACTTTTTCTAGAAATAGACTTTTTCCCCATTGTTCTAGTAAAATAATTATTGAAGATAAATTTTTTTTGTTATCCATATGTATATCAGTCATTAATGCACAATTATTAAAAAATTGTATCACCATTATTAATTAATATCATTAATTAATGAAGCATTTTTAATAAAATTTCAATCATCTGTTGTTTACTGGGTATCAGTCATTTATAAAGCACAATTTAGATATTTTCTTTTCACTTTTGAGTTCAGCAAGACATGAATAATTTTAAAAATATAAGTTTAAAACATTGTATTATATAAGCGCTAACTTTTTAAATTTCTGTATTTATAACATGATTAAATAAAGATTAAAAAATATACAATAAGATGAAAAATTGTAGTTATGTTAAGTTAATCCCAATCGTTTCGCAATTCGTTAAAAATCCCCTTCTTTTTTGCAATCTTCTACTTAATTGTTCCCTCCTAAAACTACAGTAAACAATTTTATAAATTTAATACAATTAACATTTTTATTATATATTTTTAAAATTTTTTTTAATAATACATGGACAATTTATTATATCTCGCTCATAGATGTTTGATAATTATATTTTATGGAATTTAAACATTTTACTTTTAATACAATTGCAGATGATGTTTTATATTATTGTTTTATGCTTTGTATTCATATAAGCTCTGTAATAAAATCAAGTAATTCTGTGCTACATTGATATACGATTCCAAATAGCAACCAATCAATTTTTCTAGACTAAGCAGAATTTGTTTTACATTAAAAGTGGTAGCGAACGTAATATATATATATATCCCTAATAGAAGATATTTTATNTTTATTAGTTTTGTCGGATAAGCTTAAGTAAAAGATATATATATATATATATATTGTTTACTCCTTGGTTTAATTAATTAAAATTAAAATGATTTTGAATATAATTACATGTAAATAAATATGGCATATATGAAAAATTATCACAAATCGTTCTTTCCAAATTCTGCCAAAATATAGAAACTTTTTTGCGTCAAAATTGTTATTTTTAATACATGAAAACGTTTGCAACTTTTGAATTATTGCTTCGATTGACTTGTGTATAGTCATCACCTACTACATCAGAAAACCTACACACGGTTTATAAGAAGTTGTCTGTGCAGACGGTTTAAAAATGGTGTCGGCTTTACGCATGAAGCAAACATCTATTATAAGATTGCCTGAAATAAAAGCTGCAAGGTGATGTTTCAAGTAAGATGAATTTAAAGTAAGTTTCAAGTAAGATAAAAAATATTTAGCTTTAATATTCTTACATTAGATAGATGAATATAGTGTGTAGAACAAAAAAGTATACCCAGACATTTATCCACTTTGGAACTATAATCATATCCTTCAGTGCATTGGCATACTTTTTTTCCAAGTACGAAATCACATCTCTCCCATTCAGTTCTTAAATCATCACCGCAACTACATTCTAAAAATAGAAGAAAAAGTATCATGAGCTCTATAGGAGAGGGGATTAGTGTGGACATAGTGTAGCTAATTGGTATGCTTCCTTTATTTACAATTCTAAATTTCTCTGCAAATTTTGGCAAAGTGGAAAAATGTATTACACTTTCACATATAAAGTTAAAAGATAGTATGTATCAAGTTACGAAATAACATGTTTCAGGTGTATAGATCAAGTTGAAACGTGTATCAGGGGCGTATATCAAACTACAGGATAATATGTATTAGTTGCATATATTAAATACAGAGTTATTAGAAAAAGCACTACAATGTTGAGTACCAAATTAAGAAACAACGTTTTTACGGTATAAAAGTGACTTTTTGCTTTAATAGCGACTTCAGACTTTTTTATTTCATTGTTTTTTATAATAGGAGTTATTATGTATGTAGTATGCTTGTCACAGATTTTAATAATCACTTTCGATTAACCTTTCTCAAATGAATTTGACTACACGAGCCAAGTGTTGGACACACAGTGTCGGCGGAAGAATGGATGGGACTACATCATTAGGGATTAAGTCTTCTCAGAGTGCTAGAAATACTTAAGACTGGTTGTAAATTCATACTTGCAAGAATTTATTTCATGATTAGTGGTTGAAGGGATGCCACGGGGATAGAAAATGTAAGAAGGGGTAAAAGCCCAATTCATTATTATTTTTTGAACTATCTTATTATTCGCACGCAACTATCACAATTGTAAATTATTTTTGTATAAAGCGAAAACATTCTTTGTAATCACTTTCAAAATACACTGAAAGGAATATGTGTAGTGGAAGCAAAACTATTTTCGTGACTGTAATTTGACCTCTTCAAAACGGGCTAGATGTAACCAACCTTTACAACCACAGAATCTGAAGAGAGATTTTCAGCATTTTGATTAGATTTCGCGGCTACGTCATCTGCGACGTTATTTCATTCTGCTTATACTTGCCGTTTTCATAGAGCTATTTTGTACTAAAGTTGTACTTTCGAAGTTGAAATGCCAGCTTTTTCGTCTGAGGAAACTGCCTTCTTTATTTATGAATGAAATAGAAATTATTTCGTCTAACATTATTACCTTTAGAAGCAATGTTCGAAATTTTGCAAATTGCAACAAGTGAATAAAAGAATTTGGGGAACTGACAAACGTGAAATAGAATTCCAGAGTTTCGAAATTTCCCAGACAAAGAATTGTTTGTTGATAAGTAACTATTTTAGTTATTTAAACAAAATTTTGTATTTAATTTTTATGGGAAATACTTTATTCGTTACATTTATAACTATCATTTGCACGAATTCTTATAAAGCTAATATTACTTTAGTTTCTTGAATAACATTGAAATCGGAGTTTAATTGCCTTGCTCAATTCTTATATCCACTAAGAAATTAAACATTGATAGTTTTAAACTGATATTATCGAATTAAATTAATATTTCATTTATTTGTGGATTACTAAGATTAAATTAATGAGCTTCACTTTAACATTTCATTTGCGGCTCCATTTATCTTTCTAAAATTAAACTAAAAGATCTGCATTTATTCCATCTATTTAAAATTTATTTTGAATATTTCCTTGTGTCTGTTAAATGTTTTTAGTACAAAAAAAACTATTATATGACTTCAAGGAAATCAAGCAGAGGTCTTTAAAGACGATTATTTTTTTAATTTTTTATAGATAGCTCCCATCAAAATTAAATTGAATGATTTTGAATTGTTAGCTAAATTAATGCAATGAGTTATGGAAGAATAAATTTTCAAAAAATTGTATCTTTATAATTCTAGTATATTTCTACTGCATCGAAAAGTTTTTTTTTATTATTATTCAATTGCTGGATCTTATTTGTTTGTCACCCTACTGTGTTTATGAAAATGCCGTAATAAAAATGTAAAAGAAAGGTCTCAAAAATTCTGATTTTCAAGCAATAATATCCATAACAGAAAAAAAAGCCGTAAATCAGAATAAATTACGGGAAAACGATATAGTTAAAAGAGGAGCTACAAAAAGACGTAAGAGAAGGCATTGCTGAGAGAGAGAGACAGAGTCAATCTGCCTCTCAAAATCTATCTGCATATTCTGTGATTGCAACGGTTAGTTAGTTATATCATTCTTCTGACAAACAGGGCAGAAAAGATTAAACTGCAAGACTATTTCTTGTTGTCTAAGCCGCTTATTAGTGGGCGGTATGATAATAGTAGTTTGATTTATTTAATTTACTATTACATGGTTCAAAATAAAAATTTTAGTTACTTTTTGAACTGTTGTTTTAATTCCTATGTTAATCCTGTGCCTCTAGACATAACTTTTCAATCTTTATGTAATTGTTTTAATCTGGTTTATAATTATGATAAAGTTTATGATTATGTTATGAATTTATGTTTATCTGTTATTCTCTATGTTTAGTGTTTATACTCCCATATTCGCTTATTTCAAGCCACGTTTTTATCACCGTCTATTGTCATCATATCAGATGAATCGGTGAGAGCCTACGGGCTGGTACAGAGTACCTGGTAACTTGGCTGGCACCTGGTCTAATGATAAAAAAAACATTTATTGCATTAAAAACTGAAGGTATAATTATAGGGAAATCAAAAATAATCCTGTCAAATTAGTTACCGATTTTTTCCATCCTGATTTTGATTCTGTACGAATGCATTTATGACTGACCCGTCTCGAAGAGGTTTAACCCTTTGCGTGCGGCTGGTTCAATAAGTAGACCAGAATGGCTTCATCAGGTCAGTGCCGTATGCAAAAGGTTAATGGATAAATTTTTTAGAATATCAGAGAGTGAACTATTTCCAGATCTATGCTTATGTAGAAATACGAAAAAAAGAATTACTTTTGCAGGATTTATCATAGCTGTCGTACGTCTGTTGTGCAGAATTGCACTGGCAGTAAGCTCTTTGGGTATGGCTATCATATTGGCAGGTGACGTCATCACCACAAAGCTTGTCTTCACATTCATAGATGGTCTCACAGTATGGTCCACCCGTGCCTGTCAAACACAAGCAGATGTTCTGCAGGCAACGTCCTCCATTTGAGCATGCGTGTTTGTCGTTGCACATGGCTGAAAATCAAGGTGCATATTTAGCAATAATAGCCTGTTAACAATGTAGCAAAAGTAGTTTTTAAGAATCAGAGTAAATACCGAAGTACAAAATTCTCCCTACAAATTTAAAATGGTAAAAAAAAGGATTTAATTTAAGATTTAGAAAAGAATTTGGACATTTTGATGTTTCATAAGACACCAAGACATTTTAATAATTTAAAGATCTTTACATAGGTACGATGTAATATTTTTAAGTGTTTGTGAAATTCCTTTAAAAACGCCTGATTTTTGGAGAGTTATTTTTCTATCACTTTTAATAATGTGGACTCTCAGATTGACAGGTCTAATAAATATAATATAATCTGTAATTAATTACAATCTGATAATCTAATTTTATTGTGTTATTTGATTTTCATAATAATTATTTAGAACTTTCAGGTTGACATGTCAAATAAATATAATATAATCTAGAATTGATAATGATCTGTAACTAAAATCTAGTTTGACTGTGTTATTTGATTTTCATAAAGATAATGATTTCTGTAAAAAATTAGAAAAACGATGAGTAGCTTATCTATGGCCTGCCAACATACACTATAAAAATTAACGTACGAAACAAGAAATTCGAAATTGAGGTGTCTGCACCTAAAATGGTAGCAAATAATTTACACCACAGTGGTGTAAAGTATTCTAAACATTTATAACATTCAATATATTTTCATTAAAATAATAATTGTTGATAGACGTCATTTTCCAAAGTAACTAAGTACATAAATTGTTATTATTGTAATAAAGTTATGTCTCTCTACATGCGAACAAAATTGTATATCCAAACATGTAAAGCATGATTCAAAAATTCTAAAATCTATAATTATGAATAATTTTATGTAAAATAATCTTATAAAAACAAAAAAGAGGCGAGTACCATATCTATGACCTTTTAACATACAAAATGAAAATCAACGTGGACAACAAGAAATTCAAAATTGAGGTGTCTACCTTAAATGGTAGCAAATACTTTACACCACAGTTGCGTGGTGAAACACCATAACTAACTCTTGGTTCATGGTGTTTCACTACACTAAGAAACCTGGATTATTCCAAGTGTGACGCCGAAAATGTTAGACACTATTTCGTGTAAAGTAGCTAACGCCATTTTCAGTATTCAGCAACACTAAAAGTATCACTGAATCTTTAAGAGTATCTCTCAGTATTACTGAATGATGTGACACACATAAAATTTATTGTTATGATACAATGTAAAGTAAGAATTATGTTTATGATGCATGGATATTTAAAATAATATCAGTTTATTATTAAAACCTATACAGCATCCCTAGCAGCAAAATAACTTTGGCCTTGGACTAATATTCACGAATCTAGGCTTAATAAGGATTCAAAATTCGTTATTTTTCCGATAGTGGTCCTATATAGAATTGTCCTATTCACTTGATATTTTACAGTCACTTTACTATCCATATCGGCCCTATATAGAGTTGTCGGGTTCTCCCGATATTTTATAGTTATTATTCGGCCAACATAAGCCCTATAATGGTTGTATATAGACCGATATTGGCCCTATATAGGACCAATGGTAAAAACTCAAGACATCCCAATATTGGTCAATCGGTATATGTTCATATAGGACCGATATCGAGCCAATTTTGAGCCCAACTAGGGTCAAGGCAAAATTGTTTTTTAACGATGAAGAGAATACTAAGATAAACTCGAAAAAAGCTCAACAAAACAGAAGCGAATAAAAATTAAATATGATTTAAATATTTAATGCAATTAAAAGATTTAAAACTTCGTATGAGAACATAATTAAAGTGGTAAATGTTAAAAAAGGGCAGTATGTAACACTTTCACGAAAATATGTTTTTTGTTGCTTTTAGAATATCAATCACCGATTATCAAATACAGATTAATTTTTTAGACTATCTAAAGAAAAGAATCCAACAATTTGGAAGCATTTAAAGCAATCTTTCCACAAATTACAAATTGTTTTCCCTTTTAAGTGCAGATTTGTAACAAGCCCCCTTTTAACATTGACTGTTTCAACTATCTTGATTACACCACTAAAAACGTGCATGATTTTCATGACAGTTAACTTCTGTTTCGGTGGACTGTTCGGCAACATGCGACACAACAAAAATTCACTTTCATGTGATCGATTAATCGATCGTTGTCAACTCACGGTCTCCAAAGGCACGCCAAAAAAGGCGAAAAAACGTAGCAAGAAAAGCGAGACTATTGCTAAAAAAAATTGTGATCGACGGAAGGCGATCGCAGGTTACTCATTGGCAAAATGGTTGTTGTCTAATTTTTTTTACCCTCTTTATTTGTGATATTCACCTGAAATAGTATTGAAAACGATCCAGTTGGAACTGTAGGTTAGAATTTCTGATTCTTAATTAAAACAATAAAAACAAAAATATCGTTAAAATAATAAAATTCTCTTTCATTCACAACTCAAGAAAAATTTATGGAATTTCTCTGGTCCCATATCTCAAAAATAAACTCACCAACTTAATGCATAACAACATTAAAAGTGAAAAAAAGAATTTTAAAGAAATTATCAAACAGCAGCAGTTGCCATAGCAACGCATGCAATGACGACGCATGCGCACTGTTTACTATTACTCTTGAACGCAGGTGAAAAGTGTGATGACGTCTAAATAAGGTGCGCACGCCATCAAGTCCAAAACAAAACCCATATGGAGGCTTTCACAATTACATAGTACTTTTCTCATTCTCTTTGTTTTTATAAATATACGGTGTATCACCATGTTGTATAAAAAAAATATGATTCTCAATAAAAATGTTACATAAAAACACAAATTCCATGGGGAAAACAAGTAAACTACTTACGTGTACAGATACTATAATTTCCTGCTTTAAATCCAGGTTCACATGTACAAACCTTCTTACCATCTTCAAATTTGCAGTCTTTTGAATGACTGCCACAATCACATTCTGAAATTTTTACGAGTACTTTAAACATACATTTATGAAAAAAAAATGAAAATAATGAATGAACATTCAACTATAAGAGATTATAAGAGATCGTTGTACATAATGAGCATTATCTGAGATCACATGTAAGCAAGAGCAAAAATTGATAGTAAAAATGATTTCTATTTTAACCCTTTCGAAAGCCGTAGGAAGTCTCACCAGTTTTGATTTAGGTTTCCATTTGTTAATAACTACAGCTTCCTTGAAGTGCGTTTGAATAAAAATTGGTAGTCATTTGTTAGTTTACAAAAACGCATGAAAGTTATGAAATACATAATTCCTTTTGAAGTTTGTAGCATTTATAAAATTTATTTTATAAATAAAGAAAAATAAAAGTCAATAAGTTTCTAATAGGTCGTGTTAAATATATTTTCCTCCAAAACAATGGCACTTTTATATATTAACTGAGTTTTTTTTTCTTATATCAATTACTATTCTTAAAACAATTTCAATTCCGAAAATACTTTAATTCACCATTACTAGAAGAAATAAATGGCTCTTTAAAGGGTTAAGGAAAATCACAGGTTACCAGAAACACCATCGATAATAAAAGGAATTTTGACTATTTATCATAACATCTAACGTATAGTCTTTTCGAAAAATGTTTCTTTGTGGTGGCAACATTTCCAAGTCTGAATCTTAGCTCTAAATTTAAAAAAAAAAAAAAAAAAAAAAGACTGGGGGACAAATTTTTTTGTTGCATTATAATTTTTTATTGCATCTTACCTAATCCGGGTGAGGGGATTTCAAATCCGTAACTAGATATATTCTGAAAGCTATAGATTTTTTTAAATTGTTTATTTAGTTTAGTTTATTTTTTCGTTTGAATATACAAGTTTATAGGATTAATCTATAGGATTGTATTCATACGTATACGGTTCCTGTGAAAACATAACATAAAAAACATATGATCTTAACATATTGCATTACAAATGGTGATGAATGGCCTTCCCCCTACCAATCTCTCTGCAGCAGAAAAACTGCCGTTTTGCCAACTATAGTAATTAATAGGTTTAATCGAATTAAAAAACATTGTCCCTTTAATTCATTAGTTAATTTCATTGTATAATTATTGAGTTAAGATGGCAATACATTTTTAAGCTCCTCCTTTAATTCATATCAATAAATAATCTGCATTTGATGCAAAAGAACTTAATTCAGCGAATATTTTTTTAAGATATTCTTCCGAGCCTCGGTGGCTCAGGGGATAGAGAGCTCGGCTTCAAATGAGGTGAACCGGGTTCGAATCCCAGCAATAGCTGATCGATATGAATTCCGCATCCAGTTTGCACCGACTACAGACGTAAAATATCCTCAGTGATAGACGGGTCATGGGATAGAGTGCCCTTGCCATCAGGCTAACCGTGGGAGGCATTCGTGGTTTTCCTCTCCGTGTAACGCAGATGCGGGTTAGTTCACCACGAAGGTATATTTCTCCCAATACTTGATTCAGGAATTCCCTTGACTTCTGGATTGTGTTCAAAGTTACAAGTCTACGGCGTTGAACATCAGTAGTCGCAAACCCAAAACATTGGGGCGGCTGTTCAATAACGGTTATAAAATGTAAAATATATATTCTTTTTAAAGCTAAGTGTGGATGAAGGACTAAGTTTCCTGTAAAATGTTTCTCTGCCAAGTACTTCGATTTCTTCACATTAGACTCTTATGTTCCTCCATCAGCTCACATTAATTCGACTCTACATCTACTCCTCTTCTTCGCGTGTCTAGAACAACTCATTTAATTGAAAAAAAAAATAAAATTATATATTTTTGTTATGTTGGTCCCTACTATAAAATAATTTTTTTTCGATGTTTACAATTAAAACCATTGGACGGAGAAAAGTGTTCTCACATTTAATATATAAATTGTGTTATCAGTTTTGCTTATTATGAGACACTGCATATCTAATTGAAATATCTAACTTCGTTATCTAATTGAACATATTATACCTCTTGGCGAACAAATTCTCACGTATTCTTTGGCCAAGTTATACCTATTCTTAACTTACATTTTCTGTAATGACTCATAAAATATGAAATAAAAAAGGAAAATGCATTACTTTCACAGACGCCATTCAGTTCGTTGTACCCTGGATTACAAAAACATTCTTTAACACCGTCTTTGTAACTGCAACCTTTAGATCCTTTGCCACATTTGCAATCTGTAAAGAGATGGATAAATTACATAAGTGGAAGTGAATCCAATAATTTTGATAAAAAAAGGGAATATTACCTAATTAAAAACTTCGTTCGCTTCAAAAATATACGAATGAAAAATAACAGTCGACAAGTTTCAAGGGGCCCATTTACGAAACTTGCCAGACGTAAATGGGAAGAAACAAAAGTGATTTAACCCTTTTATGGGCCATTTATTTCTAGTGAAGGTAAATTAAAGTATTTTTTGAATTGAAATTGTTTTAAGAATAGTAATTGACATAAGAAAGAAAAAACTCATTTAGTTTATAAAGAGGCAATTGTTTTGGTTGTAAATATATTTAACACGACTATATATTACTTATTGACCTTTATTTTTCTTTATTTATGAAATAAATTTTATAAATGCTACAAACTTCGAAAAGAATTATGTATTTTACAACTTTTATACGTTTTTTTTTTCAAACTAACAAACGGTTACCTATTTTAGTCAACCGCACTTCAAGAAAACTGAAGTTATTAACAAATGGAAACCTAAATTAGAAGTGGTAAAAAAGTGGTGAGAAGTATACTTCCCACGGCTTTCGAAAGGGTTAAACCAATAAAAGGAAAATTTGTTAACGACTAATATATATATAT